ATAATTGACATTAATAGAATATAAATACAATACAACAAATCAATAAAATAAATATAATATAACAAATCAGTTATTATATAATAAAATCGTAAAGCAAATATTGTAATTAACTGATATTGAAAGGTTCGGCTTATCTAATAAACAGCTCTAAAATATTTGAATATCCATCTCTTCTTATTTCTTATCTTTTCGGTACATTATAGCCTTCCCCTGTAATGAGTTAAATATAGATCGTTCTTCCCCATTAAAGGTTTCAGTTTTAGCTGAATTGTTCTACCAATTTTTTTTAAGTTTTAATCTCCCAATGGCTCAAGCCCTATCGGAACCCTCCAATAATACGATCGATAAAAGGGAGTACCGTATCTTAACGTGATCGTCCTTGACTTTGTTTGATTAGGTTCGTCGGCCCCGTAAAAGCGAATTTCTTCGGTAGGAACTATCACGTGCCGAGTGAGTCCTTCGAATTCAGCATGAATCCTTTGCGATTCGAAAAGTACGATCGATCGGCGCCCACAACAAAGTTACGAATCGTAAGCTAGCCGCATAATAGCCCTCGACGATGGCCAGCTTGCATCGCGACGCTGTGATTTAAGTTGGAAGTAATTGCTGTGTATTGAGATTTATGGACTGCAACTCCCAAAGTTTGTCGGTAAAAATATAGCTTGTGAAAATAGTAGATAAAATACTCGAGCTGTTTAAACGAAGATAGGCGATATAAGTGTAGAGGTCAGAACTCAATTGAGAGACGAGGTCTTTGGCCTCAATTATCTTACGGTGTACCTAAGGTTAAATATATTTTAGCATTCGCATTTCTCTCGCGTGTTCTCCTTGTATATAAACTTAGAGAGAATCAAACGAAAATACCAAATATCTCTATCAAAATCCATTAAGAAAGAGATTCTCTTTAAAATAAAACCTGAATATCTTCAACAGTAGTTTTAAATTTCTCATTACAATTTTCCACAACGTTACTTCAAGTTCAGAAACATGCTTGTTGAATTTTCTTATTAATGCTAATTCTGACGAGGAAACGCTATTAAAGTCTCATTTAAATATAGTGATTCTTATCACAAAATAATATTGCACGTGATAAGAAAACATACTTTAATGCAATTTAGGTAAATGCAAAATAAAATAGTTATTACGATCAAGGTAAAAGGAGCCGCTCTCTATGTAGTTGATACGCTTGAAAGATTAATGAGCACATTGCGAGAAAGCGAGACACGATCCAGCAACGGGGCGAAACGGTAGTCTCGTAGTTTTGTCATACACACCGGAAATCACATTCAGTGTGATATAATAGATTCGGCGGTTCACCGGCGCAACGTGGCGACGGGACGAGTGCAGGGATCGCGTCGGGATGCAAGTGCACTGGGAGTCAACACCAGCGACAGTCAACACTCAACGTCGGTCTGCGGTCACGGGCGAGCTGAAGCGACAGGCAGCAGTACCTGCATAATGACTCGACTGCAGCCGTGCACTGCGGTGCGCGGGCTGTGCGCGATGCACCGGTGCGGCCGGGCCAATCGTGGCAAGGCCACCCGCGCTGCGAAATGCATCGATGCATCTTTCACGCGTTGGAGTCAGGGCCGTTTTGAAGCCTTCGCAGGATATCTTTGCTCTTCTCCGGAAGTGTGCCAAGTATATTTGAGTGCAAACATATACACTTCGTTTATTAATATTTCTCTTATAGTAGCAAACCATTTAAAAGAATATTTAAGATTTCATTTTCTAAATAATTATTGAACATTTATTCTCCTTCCACCATCAAAATATTTATAAAACTTAATTTACGTTATTAGTGTAAAATATTATGATTTGTTCCGTTAATAATGAATTATTTTATATTATAATTTAAAGTTAAACTTTTAAATTTAATTTCTGAAAAGTTAATTTCAGTATTAAGCATATTATATTTTAGAGAGAGAGAGAGAAAGAGAGAGATAGAGAGAGATATATATGAATAGATTTTTAATTAAATATTTATTTACTTTTCAAAATTATCACTTTTTCGTGATTCAAAGCTACTTCGAAGCAATTCTTCTTTTTTTGGAAAATTACTTTTTAGAACTCAAGTAATCTTTGATGTTTGTTGATATTATACATTTGACAGGTAAAAAAAATTTCGTGTTTCAACAATACCACAAACGTTAAAAGTTATAATAATACGTTAAAAGTTATAAGTAATACACGTCAATCACACGTAATGTACCTACATGTTAATATCACCAATAATAAAATAACTAATATTTCAAACTTAATATAAATTTAATTGCAGATGTTTTGATCAAAAGTCAATCTTTAGTCTAATGGTAATTTAGGAGATAACAGTAAATTAGATCGTTCTTCAGCAGTTAAATCTCCTATCATATTATACACATTTAAAAAACATATTATACAGTCGTTTACTCAATAGTAAAGCGCTCGTGGGCAGGTAGAGTAGGCTATAAACTGAATCGAAAAGTCCTTTACCATTTTGCAATTTTCACAATAGTTATCGAGATACTAATTATTTTTTTTTTAAATTACGCCAAATGTATAAAAAAAGGTATCCTACATTACATCTTTTCTCAACTAAAAATATTATTTTAACAAATAAAAGTTGTCCAAAAACAAATATGTGATCATACAAATTGCCAAGTATTTGATATTAGACATAGAGACAAAAATATTTTATTCTAAAAATAATTGTTTAATAAATTGTTTAAACCAAATATATGTATTATGTATATGTATATGCAGCAAAAGTTTAATACCATTGTCATTTTAAATAATTTTAAGTTTCTTAAAATAGGCTTGAAATGACTTAAATGACCTGACTAAAATGATGGTTTAAGAAAGATGTAATGTATGTACGATTCTATATATACTTGGCTTAAATTTTTTTTTAATGATTGGTATCTCGATAAATATTACGAAGATCCCAAAATAGTGGAGGACTTTTCGATACAGTTTAGCTCACTCTACCTGCCCACGAGCGCTTTACCATTGAGTACCGGACACCCTGTATATCTCACTTATGTATGTACATACCTCATTCAACTATAAACAGCGTATTATCTATTATAACTTACATAATTTCTTTATTACACTGATTTTGAAGACGTCTTTTTGAAATATAATCATGTGTTTGTCTTCTTGACACTAACGTTTAATTATAAAAACATATCTATTATGAAAATTTTAAACTAATGTCTAATTATTATTAAAAATTTTTTATGTTAAGTCATGTTAAATCATTTATACCCACTTTTATTTAAAAAAAATTAATTAATTTATAACTTTATTATTGTAATATACATATTTGCAATATTTTTTATAACCAACAAAATTTTGAATAAGCATACAATACGTAAATGTACTTATTTTACAAAAAATAAACTAAGTAAAAAATCAATTTTATTTTGTAATTTAAATATTTTGCTATTGTCAAAAAATTAAATAAAGAGTTTTTTATATTATTATAATATATGTAGTATGTATGTATGTACATATATATTGATTGACAGTTTTAATTTCAATAATTGCTATTACACTGATGATAGTTTATCGACTTATACCATGAACGGAAAAGAAGGAAGCTTTAAACTGTTTGCTGCTGCAAATATAGATAGACTTACTTATCGACTTTGTAATGCCGACAGCAGAAAAATAATCTACAAACAGTCTATTGGATTTATATATTTGCCACCTGGAGATTAAAATAGCTAAATATTCCTAAAATGTTTATACTTATATATTATATTCTTTATTTAATAAAATGCTCATAGTATAAATAAATTAGCAAGATCTAGCTACTGGCGCGTGCGAGGAAGTAGAAATAATAAGTCTGTTTTTTATAGTTGAACTGGCTACACTAGTTCAGAGTTTATCTTTCTTCTTCCAATGTAGAAAGAGAAAAATAAACTGTGAACTAGTGCAGCAGTTCAGCTATAAAAAACAGGCCTACTGTGAATAGTTTGCTTTATCTCGTGCAAATTTGGCCGAAATTTCAATTGATAAAACAGGACTTCAGCATCCCCTTAATGGTCTTTTCTCTCTCTCTAATATACAGAGAACAATCTTTCTTGGAGAGAGAAGAGAAACTTGCAAGGAAATAAGCGTTTTCTTCCGATTTTAATTAGCGTTGAATATGCTAAAATATTCATCTTTCAACAGCTTTGACTTACATATTTATAATATATAGGGTAAGGTAAGTATATAAAAAATAATTATCAGGATTCCAAATTGCTACGTCGCGTCGTATGCGTGAAAGTGAAATAAGGGGTCAAATGTACTGTAATGAATTGATAACTTTATAATAGTTTGCAAAAATCGAGTTTTTGATAAAAAACATCGTCTTCAATAACAATTTTAAGTATATGTATTGTATAAATATTCCGTAAATTTTCTTGCGTCCAGGGCCAGCCTCTTCGGGGTGACGATCTTATTATTCTCAAATAAATGAATCTGAATTCGTTTTCTCCTCGGGAATTTGTCAAAAGAAAACTTGATAATTATAACGTCTTTAATTTCACCAATTTTCAATTCTGTTGTCCGGTTACCTTTCAATAAAACAATACAAAACTAGTTAATGCATGCATTTTTAATTTAATCAATTAATACTTTTATTTGATATATATCATTTTGAGAAATAAATTTTCGTATCTACGAATTAAGCAAATACAGATTCCCGCGATCTTTTTATCGATGCTAAATTTATTCGTAACAGGTACATCCCAGTTAAAAAAATATATCGTCGTGTTTTAATAGCCAGATTCAAAATGAGAGCGAGCGTACTCCGAGAGGGTGGAGACGATGACAAAAATGATATTTTTGTTTCGGGTTCATAAGGGTCGCCTGATAGGATCGACGTAGCGACTAGGACCGTTTCGTATACCATATGTGCAGTTTACCATATGTATATATTTGGTGCGTGCGTGCGTACGTGTCTGTGTGTGTGTGTGTGTATGGACATATAAATATATAGAGCATAGATTCATAAAGCTAGGCAGAAATTACAAAGTGACACATCTCGAAACATCCAAAGATGCTGCTCCTGACGGTATCACTTTTCTGCACCTTTATTTGTATTTATTGCATCTACGATTGCATGAAGCCGAGAAATTATCCACCCGGTAAGTGGAACAAAATATTCAATAATAATATGACATTTTTGAAGCTTTTAATTTTGTGATATTGCGAGCAATTAGTGCCCAAACATTCACACAATAACTGCACTTTTCATTCATATATCTTTTTCAAGTAAGAACGATTTCGTTGTTTTTCACGTTGCAAATATACAACACATACTAATAGATGTCTTGACACAGACATTACAAGTTAATATCTCTGAAAGCACTTAATTCAGAAAGCTGATCTTTCGAGAGAAAGTCATAGGGTTTTGAAAAACGCGTTTCGAACGGAATATATTTATTTCGTGAATATTTAATTTATTTCTGGAATTCAGTTCCACCATAGATGATATTTCATTTTCTTAATTTGTATCTATAATTTCCAAAATAATTTTCACTGAAATTTTTACATTTGTCCAAAGTTTTTATCTTTAATAATTAATATCATATATCGTAATAATCATTAATAAAGATATGTCGATAAATATTAAGTTATTTTTTGAGAAATGCGTGTATAGCGTGACAAAGTGTGAAAGAAATAGTCGTTATAATCACGCTTTTATAGACATTACGTTACAAAAATGATATCCGATGTGCACTCAAGTCCCAGGAGATTATTAAAATTAACTTCATCTTACTTCATAAGTATACATGTATCTTAATCTAAAGTTTAGATCCAAAGATATTCTAATGTTAATAATGTCAACATTTGACAAGTAACCGATATATGACGATCTTTCGATATTTTTGGTGTGGGCAAAAATACTAAAGATTATAAATTAATATTACATTAATATTTCTAATTATGAAACTCCATGTACAAATATTGACCACGTAGGGCCAATGTGGATACCGTTACTCGGATGTTTACTGAAGTTTTCACGGCTACGTTCGAAATACGGATACATTTATCTGGCTCTGCAAGACCTGGCGCGTACGTATGGGCCGATATTAGGGTTAAAACTTGGTAATCAAAAGGTGGTGGTGATTTCGACGTGCGATCTGGTGAAGAAAGCTCTTCTTCAAGATGAATTCAATAACCGACCAGACGGATTTTTCTTCAGAGTACGATCGTTCGGGAAAAGAAAGGGTACGCAACTGTATACAGTAAGCGAAATTAATTCGTAACATTTAAAATGAATACGTCAAAGATTTTGAAAATTATTCACTTTTTTAACAACATTTCGACACAGGAAATAAAGTCTTTGTGTTTCTCTCATTTCGTTATTCAAGCGACATTTGTTATTCAAGGCGTTCTATTCTCTGAGGGTTCCACTTGGTCGCAGACTCGTAAATTTACAATGCAACATCTGCGGATGTTTGGCATAGGTCAGTCCATTATGAAAGAACAGTTGACCCTAGAGGCTCGGAATCTCGTTGATCATCTACAACTGATTAGCGAGCGTGGCGCGGTGATGATGCACAGGGTCTTCGATGTCGCGGTGCTCAACTCGCTGTGGATCACGATCGCCGGGCATAGATTCGAGTATGAGGACCAAAAACTGCAAGAAACGTTAGAAACACTTCACAATGCCTTTAGGTAATCGTGTTGTTTAGCGAAACACACACTCAATTAGACACACAATTATTTTCGCAAGATAAAACATCCACATTTTAACACAGATTAATAAATACCATGGGTGGAGTGATTTCGCAAATGCCTTTTCTACGTTTCGTGATTCCGGAATTGTCAGGCTACAACGAACTAATGAGGATTCTCAATAAGCTGTGGCGCTTCCTCGACGAGGAGATCAAGATACACGAGAGAGAATTATCCGACCAACCACGTGATTTGATTGACGCGTTTCTTTTGGAGATTCGTAAAAATAACAAAAATGAAAATACGATTTTTGATCGTAAGTTAGTTGTGTATCGCACAATGTAAAGCTTGACATTTTATCTAAACACTTGAAGCTTGCTTAAATTAAATTAATTATTACTTACTCACTTTATTTCTATTAAATTTTATGATTGATTTTTATTAAGTTTTTTTTGCACTTAAACTTTTTACGTTAGTTGGTCTGCGATATTTTTACAAAGTATCAGAGAACCTTTCCGGAATTATACACTGTTAAATTTATAGTGTCAAATTAAACTTAAATTGAGTCATTTTTAACCATTCCTTGAAGTCGCCACTGCTCCTACTAAATATATTGTTAATTTAACTAAGACAATGGAGTTAAAAAATTTAACTCAAGAAATGTATTAAATTTGACTAAAATTTAATGTGTTTTTTACTATGTGCATACGTTGAAATTAACTAATAATTTAATAAAAAATGACTCACTATTATGTTTTAATTTACTAATAGTTTTAACCTGTAATGTGTCAAAAAATTACTCGAAATTGAGTTAAATATTACTATTTATTACAGTTATATTTAATTAATCATATAAGTACATTTTAATGCATTAAATATAGATAATATGCGTATACGTATACATATGTTTTATTTGTCGAAATTTTACAAAAATAAAATATTTTAAGAAAGATAAGGCATATATGCCTTTGTAACGGTGATTGAAATTAATAAGAGATATGCATGTGATTGTGTTATATTTGTGAATATTTTCCTTCGTTTAGTAATTAATTAAGTTTTCACATGCAACGATGTAACGACGAAATAAATAACAAATTACCGTTGACACATGTGTACATGACATATGTGTACATGTTTCACGCCGCAGGTGAGAATTTATTGACACTGTGTCTTGATCTCCTGGCCGGGTCGAAGACGACCACTGACACCTTAGTGACTACGTTTCTCTTCCTGTCGCTAAATCCGAAATGGTTGAGGATACTTCAGACCGAGTTGGACGGTGTCGTTGGTAGGTCACGAGCTCCAACCGAGGATGATTTACCATCCTTGCCACTAACGGAAGCTTTCTTGGCCGAGGTAATGTAAGAAAGAAGAAAGATATGAACTATAGAATATAGATTATTATGTGCAATCCTGTCGCGACGGAGTATATAATTCATTGATAGCTGACAGAAAGATTTAAGATTCGAGAAAAGATAGATAGATTCAAGAAAAGTCCCATTGCAACAAAATATTATTAATAATTAATTTTTAAACATATCAGAGCTTTCTAGAGAAATAATTTATTTGATTCTAATAATAATTTATGATAGTTAGAAAACAATTTACAATAGAAAATATATGTTATTGTGATTTAATTGACTTTTACATGATTTTTTACATGCAGGCATAATAAATAGAGTAGCTTCAATAAAATATATACCTGCCAATAAATACTGTTAATAATAAGATAATGATAATTCAGAAAATGATTAAATGCGATGATATCTATATTCTGGTTACAACGTAATGACACGAGTATGAAATTGGTGTAGGTACAAAGATATCTAATTTTGGCTCCACTCGGCGTACATGCAACCGCGAAGGACGTTTCTTTAAACGGCTACCAAATTCCCAAGGTAGTAGACTAGTAGGTAGTATCTGGTTACCAAATTCCCAAGGTAGTAGACTAGTAGGTGGTATCTGGTTATGGATAACTGTAGCAAACTTCAATATACAGGAATTAATATTTTTGACTCTTGATTTTTTCCATATATATATTTATTTCTAAAATAAATATAAGCGTACGCTTCATTTTTGCTGATTTCTTCGAGCCTCCATCAGTAAAAAAAAGAAATAAAATATCTACACGTATATATCAAAGTTTGCCGATTAATTATCGATAAAACATGTTGCATTCTAAATTGCGTTCTATTATGTGCCCAAATTATAAGAGGGTCATTATTTTGCAGGACACGATTATTCTCTTCAACTTTCATAGTGTTCACAATGACGAAGTTTACTGGGAAAAACCGAACGAATTCCGACCACAACGATTTCTAGACGAGCAGGGTCGATTCTGTCGGAGTAACTGCAGCTTACCTTTCGGTTTAGGTCAGTTTCAATAAAGAAGCTACAAAGAGAGACGCAATCAACGCGTCGAAATGTAGCCGCTAATGTCCCACTTTCGCAACCATCATTTGCGCAAAAGTCATTTCTACTCCTGTCTCTTTCTCTCTCTCTCTCTCTCTCTCTCTCTCCTCCCTTCCTCCGTATTGCGTACATTTTTCAACCTTCGCGAATTAAGGTAGGTATACGAAAGATAATCAATTCGCCATTGTTCGGGACTAATTGCGAGAATGCGAACGACTGTTTCCCATTTCAGGTAAGAGACGCTGTCTGGGCGAGCAGTTGGCCCGCTCCACATTATTCCTGTTTTTAACCTACGTCGTGCATTACTTCAACGTGGAGATCTCGACCGAGCACGGTAAGCCGGACCTGGACGGCTATGACGGTTTCACCTTGTCGCCGAAACCATGTTACTTCAAGCTCACGAGGAGATCCAGACGCGGGGACGATTGTCACGCGACCCGCGCGAGCACATAACGTAGCTGTACATTTGGACTTCTGCGAAAGGGCATGATTTCGTCGAACTCGTAATGCTTGCGCGTAAAAGCAAGATTTTCACAGCGTAGAACCATAATAAACCGCCGGACCGCGTCGCACCACGTACGAGATCGATCATTAACGGAAACACAGATCTTTTTGTCAAACAGCTTGTGCTATGCGTAATACGTGACACGTAACGCTCATAACGCATAACACATTATACATAATACGAAATAGGCCGATTACAAATAATCGCGTGCGGCGCGTTTAAATTGAACGCGATAACATGAATATACTTATAGAAGAGATACGTAATTAGATTTAAAACTTCAGACGAAAATACTTCCTCGGGCAGAAATTGTTATGTTGACCTGTTATGGGCGTTATTTTTCAAATCAATTTAAAAAATGTTAATATTTTTGTTAATTAAAGTAAGAATTAATCATCGTTTTGAAAATTCGTTGTGTCTTGTTTATTTCTTGCTTACGTCTTTTTATCGTCGAGCTCTCGAATTATATACCTATATAGAAACACGGTTTCTGAAAAATAAACGTATTTTATTTGTAATATGTGGCATTATAGAACGTTTTATGACAAATCTAACGATGCACAAGAATTTCAATTATTTCTTCGCGAGATTTGAAACGTGCGTATGAAAGGTGGATCACATCTTCAATAAACGAACGTAAGTTAATATACAAGTGTGCCGCGTGCATTTTTAGCAATTTGCTAGCTCTTACGCGATCTAATACGAGAAAGATGCATCGTGTGTATCACTTGAGAGAAGTATGGAAGTACAGCCAATACTTCTATCTCATTCGAACATGATCGACCTGGCTTATTGTCTTCTTTCAGCGTGTAGGAAGGCGGAAGCTTGAAGAAATGGTCTTATGGAGAAATAACATATATAATATATTTAATATGTCATCTACAATATTTTAATCGCTAGTTAAATCCTTGTGTAATATTCTATTTTATGTAGTGCTTTCTCAGTACTATTAAAAAAAATAAAATTTACAAAAAAAGAAAATACAAGTTTATGTAGCCAAATCTGCTTTTATCACTTTTTCTTTTTACTTCTTTCCCAAGCATATTATATATTTTATGTAGTGCTTTCAATACTATTTTTTAAAAATAGAAATTAAAAAAAAAATACAATTTTATGTAGTCAAATCTGCTTGTATTACTCCCTTCTTTTTACTTCTTTGTTTTTCGTCAAATCAGACGCATATATTATATATACTAGAAAAAGTATAACAAACAATTAAAACAAAAAATAATAGTCTGATGTAGACGCTAACACTTATCAAATTAATAAAATTATAGTTTAAAACAAGAATTATTATAACTTAACTGAATATCGCGGAAAAACGCTACCTATCAAAACTCTTTTAAAAAAAAGCAAAAGATTATGCCAAGTATATAAAAAAGTATCATACCTTACATCTTTCTTAAACCTAAATATTATTTTAACAAATAAAAATTGTCCAAAAATAAATATGAGCTCATACAAATTGCCAAGTAT